AAGATGATTAGGGGACTGGAGGGAGTAAGACTATTCTCCAAAGCACCTGAAGGCAGGAGAAGAAGCAATGGATGGAAATTAATCAAGGAGAGAATCTACCTAGAACTAAGGAGAAATTTCCTGACAGAACAATTAAATCAGTGGAATAGCTTGTCTCAAAAAGAAGCAGATGTTCCAACACTGGAAGTTTTAAGAAGAGATTGGGCAGCCATTTACTGTATCTCTAATGATATAGGGCAGTGATGGTTAACCTATGGCACACCTACTACAGGTGGCATGCAGAGCCCTTTCTGCAGGCACACCAGCCGTTGTGCATGTGCCTCCTGTTAGCCACTGGTCTTGGGTTTCTGCCACACAACTGCGGTGTGTGTGTATGCATGTAGGGATGCACGCACGCATGTGCTCGGGTGCATGTGTCTGGGGTGCTTGCATTGCATTTTGGGGCCTTATACAGTGCCCTGTTTTGGCTTCTAGGTTGGTGCAGGAGGCCTTCCAGGCCCCAAATGGGGCATGGGGGGACCCCCTCACCGCATTTTGGGTCTGGAAGGCCATCTGAACCAATATGGAAGTCAAAAATGGGCAATGGGGGGGTGCATGCATGGGGGCTGGGGGAGCATAGGGAGTCATGCATCCATGCATGGGAGGCAGGTTGCATGCGGGGGGGGGTTGTGGACACATTGCTTTATGGGTGCGGGATTATGCATTATGTTTTTGGCACGTAACAACAAAAAGGTTTGCCATCATGGGTATAGAGTCTCTTGCTTATGTGGGAGATTGGACTAGGAATCCTCTAAGGTCCCTTCTATCTCTCTTATTTTGTTAAATCTGCAACAAAAAGGGGCTACCAAATATCTACAATGATATTTTTGACTTCATGTCACCACAAAAACATGTAGAATTGTAGTTTAAGCAATCTGTTTCTTTGAGAAAAAAGTTTATTGGATGTTTTCTGTATCACTTTCTTGTCTACCAGATAATTTCATTTGATCAGATTGACTGATTAAGTCACAGGATTCTGTTTTTCTTCCATTCCTTTCATATTTTCCCCATAATATTTTATCTAGATAGTTAAAATTATCTATTCATCAAGGAAAATCATGATTACCATCTTCATTACTCTTTCAAGTTACTTTGGTAGCTCGGCCATTAATTTCCCTAAAATATATCAATTTGAGATGGAGAATGAGGTTGAATTTTAGAAATGGAGATGGGATGTCATCCTACACAAGGAAAGCACACAATTTTCTGCTCTTTCTACTTAGCACATTAAAATGGCAAGTGATTGTCAAATGTGGAATTGCCATGGAAGCGATTCTGTGATATTTCTCTTTTTTTCAAACATTAAGGTAATCAGCATGTCCTTTCTTCTGACATTTATATATTCACCATGAACTTCTCTAACAACCAACACTTTTGTGCAGATTACTGAAATATAAAGTTTTCCTGTTTTCAGGAATATATATTGAATATTTGGCCATCAGGTCACAGGGTATATGTAGACATAATGTCAGATGCCTAGCTAGCCAGGGCTGGGTTCCTGCCAGTTCTAACCTCTTCTATAGAAAAGGTTCCACAAATCTACAGTACCATTTAGAACCGGTTCCAGCTCCCTCCCCCCCCCCCGCCCATCTGCACATCATCAAGATGAAGAACGAGAGGAGGAATTCTGGGAGTTGAAGTCCACAAGTCTTAAAGCTGCCAAGTTTGAACACCCCTGGGTTTTTTTTTTCCTAAAGGGTTAGGGATGCAAGGGTCTTGTAACTTGACAGCTTTAAGACTTGCATGCTTCAAATGCCAATGTTTCTGAGCCAACATTTTGGTTGCTAAGTAAGTGCATTGTTAAGTGAGCTTCACCACATTTTATAAGTTGGCCACGTCCACCCAGTCACATGGCCGGCAAGTCACTCCCACCCAGTCACATGGCCGGCAAGCCACTCCCACAAAGCAAGCCACACCTACAGAAGAGGTTCTAAAAAAATTTGAAACCCACCACTGGTACCACCTATGATTAGTTAATAAAAGACCATGATTTAAACTACGTTGCTTTGGCACTATCTGTAATTCTACATGTGTTTTTCTTTCTTATATTACTACAGCAATCATAAGATATTAAACCCAAATCTATAATTTGTCACAGATTTTAGGAATTACCAGTTAACTAGCATTGCAATATTTACCTGTTTTATGTGGTGTGGTAGCAAGAACACATTCAAAGGGCTTACATCCTATACAATTAAACTCAATTAAACTCCCAATTACAGGAATCTATTATTTATTTATTTATTTATTTATTTATTTATTTATTTATTTGTTTGTTTGTTTGTTCGTTCGTTCACTCACTCACTCACTCACTCACTCACTCACTCACTCACTCACTCACTCACCTTTCTTTGCTTGTGTGCTACCCATTTCCGGAACCTCTAGGTGACTGACTCACAGTGTCAATGCAGAATGAAATAACCCTCAATTATGCTATGGTTTTAGGAATCTATGATTTTATTAGTGCTGTTCCTTATGCTTTTTTGTATGAAGCCTGATCGCATACAAGGGAAGGAATATCTCTCTTGGGAATTGGTTAATGAGCTGATATTTTCAGGCTGCATTAAAATACTGTTATAGATATTTGGTCGCACTTTTCTTGTGGATTAGGTTCACAGTTTTCAGTGCAGAGCCAACCGCCACCTCTACTACCATCTGGCTTTACACTTTTCGGATAAAACATTGCAGTGCAAATTTATATGCGAGCTTCTAGCACTGTGCTTGCTGACAAATCCAATATCTGTAACTCTTAAGATTCTGGGAGAATCCCTTATTTTGAGAAAGTTGAACGCCTAGAAATTCCTCCATTTATTAGATTCTTTGCTGGAATAGCTGTGAGATTGAGTTGTGACATAGACAAATAGACATTTTGTGACTATAATTTCTTGATAGTATTATCACTTGTGGTCTATATGAAGCAATTTGGGAATCGTGTCGCAGCAGGGCTGCTTGTTATAATAAGCTAACATTCTCACTCAGCTTACTGTTTGTCGCAAATACAACCAATTGCTCAGATTATACTTTGCTTATGCTAACATTTGGGAAAATGCAACTACTAAATGGGATGCATATAATTCAGGTAAGTATGAGATAAGGCACTTAAATACTTAGTGATTTATAAAAGTAGCCCTTGATTAATAATGATAATTGGACCCGGAAAATTCTTTGCTGAGCAATAGGGCCTTAAATGACGACATTACATGACTTATACCAACTCAGTTGCAGTTGGGGCCATTAAGCAAACCCTGGACCATTGTTGAGCATGAAATCATGTGATTGCCATTTGAAACCTCTTGCTTGGCTTCCCCTTTGTCTTTCTTTTCAGAATCCAGCAGTGATGTTGCAATGGCTGCAACTTTAGGTACCTTTGTACACCTCTATTGTAACTTCAAATAGTCAGTCACTGAACAAATGATTATTAACTGAGGGTACATAGCTTATATTACATAGCTTGGAAGCCATGTCTTCCTAAGTTTCTAGAATCAAAAGAGTTGGAGGAGAAGTTAGATGTCTTCTGGTCCAACCCTCGGTTCGGGGCAGGAATCCTCTCATCACAGATAAAGGATTGTTCCAAATTTTCCTTGAGAATTTCAATAATGTGCAGTGATGGACCTCCCAAGTTTGCAGGAAATCAGTTTGCCCCTGCTGTAATAAGGAGGAAATTCATTTTCCTTTTGAGTTTGATTTCCCTCTGGAAAGCCTCTAGGAGTCTTGCAACAAAGAAAAAGTTGTGTACAACAGTTAAACATTAAAATGTGACAAGACTCTTTTGTGTACCTCTATTGAGAAGTCACATTTTGATCACTTTTCAGTAAGTTCTAATCTGCATGGATCCATTCCTGAAAACATATATTATTTATTCATTTTGGAACACATTTGTGTATAATTACAGGATATTTCTTTTTTGATGACTATAACAGCAGTAATTTATAATTAGCCCGGGTCAGTGTCAGGAGGGGAGGCTGGGGAGAAAGGAAGGTAGAATTAATGAAGTTATAAACCTTCGGGTAGGGTAACTGAAAAGTCCAAGGATTTTTTTTTTCAGGGAAAGAGTGAACCACAAGGATCTACATTCCCCCCCCCCCAGTTCTCTGTATGCCATTGAAGAATTGAGTATATAAGTCAATATCCAACTTTATTGCTGAGTGTAGGAGAAGCAGTACACTGCTCAATTTAATTGAATATGCTGAACACAAATGCATAGCACATTTCATGCTTAAAAATTAGCACAGTTAAGGTGCAGTTCTATATGCATTTTCCTGCAGATTTATTATTAAATAGGTAAATAAGGCATTGTATTGTAAATAATCCATCTAGTACTGAATAGTTTTGCTTGTATTTCAACTTTGGCAAAGTCATCGCCTTGTCTTTAGAAAATGAGGTGAGATAAATTGTTTTTAAAAATATCTATAACATTTCTACCTTTTCTTATATGTATAGATATGTCGGTTATATATTTAACATATGATGGTTTAAGATTATAACCAAGTATTTGACCTGAAATGTCTCCTACATCAAATCTGGCAAGACATATTTGTGTCTAATTTCTAGTTAAATAATTTTATTTCCTCTCATACAGAATAGGTACATTCAACATCAGTTGTAAAAATACTGGAACAATCTAAAGAGCAGCATTCCTTATGTAGTGAAGGATGAGTCTTATTTAAAACAATAGTAACCGGATTTTATTTTTTAATTTTTTAAATGGGCTATAAGGGGCTTTGGACACACGGGGGAGGTTGTCCTATGACTTCAGATATTCAATTTGCACAGCAATCAAGAATTCTAATGAAGAGGTTTCACATGACTGAGTAGGAGCAACGTGATTCTGTAGGGCATATTTTTATGCAATTGATCAGTCCTATTAATAAAATATCCTTCATTGCTTGATGTAGCTGATAATGATGATGGAGTTGTAGTATCACTCCCCGTCTAATTAGAAATTAATTTGTTGTTTGTAGCTTGTGGCTATATTTGACGAGCAAGATCCAAACCATGGAGGAGATGGCACCAGTGCCAGCTCTACAGGCACCCAGAGCCCTGAGATTTTCGGTAGCGAACTGGGCACAACTAATGCATCTTACGAAGCAGCAAGTGAAATTGAAGTCACGCCTTCAGTTCTTCGCACAAGTAAGTAAAGTCTCTCCATTTCTTTGCACATTTTATCTTCATTTACTAAGATGCCAAGTTCTGTTAACTGTTGTGGCTGTTGGGGAGATGATTCATTATGTGTCCCTATCATAGGCCAATTAAAATGCAGAAATGGAGTAAATGTTGAAAATATCCAACTAAAAAGCTTGGACCATTTTTCTTTTCTTTTAATAACGTGGCTGTATTCTTTAACAAAAATAAACTTGGTTGGATCCGTGAAAATGAATGAAACTCCTGTTCTCCATTCCATTAAAGGGCTACAGGTAGTCCTCAACTTACAACCATAATTGAGCCCAAAAGTTCTGTTGCTAAATGAGAGAGTTGTTAATAGCAATAGCACTAAGACTTATAGGCAGTTTCATAGTACTTTACAGCCCTCTCTAAGCAGTTTACAGAGTCAGTCTATTGCCCCCAACAATCTGGGTCTTTACCTACCTCAGAAGGACGGAAGGCTGAGTCAACCTTGAGCCTGGTGAGATTTGAACTGTCAAATTGCAAGCAGCCAATAGGCAGCAGAAGTATCCTGCAGCACAGCATTCTAACAAGCGCACCACCTCGACTTAACTCATAAGTTAATTGAATTTCGCCTCATTTTATGACTTTTCTTGCCACAGTCAGTAAGTGAATCACTGCATTTGTTGTTAAGGTTGTTAAGTGAATATGGCTTTCCCATTGATTTTACTCAGCATAAGGTCACAAAAGGGGATTACATGAACCCCCTCCCCCGAAGAGTGCAACCATTATAAATATGAATCAGCTGCCATGTATCAAAATCTTGATCACATGACCATGGGATTTTGCAACAGTAGTGTAAAAAATAGTCATAAGTCACATTTTTTAGGGCCATTGTTAACTCGAACACTCATTAAACAAATAGTTGTAAGTCGAGAACTACCTGTACATTGGGAATGCTTCTTCTTCTTCTTCTTTTTTTTGAACTCTGAAGAATTGTATAGGACTATTTCCAAAAAATCCAAGCAAAAATGTGTGCATTTGAAAAAATGGAATGAATGGATGGTTAACTAGATACAGGAAAAATGTTCTAAATTGCAGATTAAGGAAAACAGTTTACAAAAATGCATATACTGGTTGTTTGTTTAACCATTCATTCAGTGACTGAACATTAGATAAAGGTAAAGCTTCCCCTCGCACATATGTGCTAGTTGTTTCCAACTCTCGAGGTTGGTGCTCATCTCAGTTTCAAAGCCGAAGAGCGAGGGCTGCCTGAAGACACTTCCATGGCCATGTGGCCGGCATGACTAAATGCTGAAGGTGCATGGAACGCTGTTACCTTCCCACCAAAGGTGGTTCCTATTTTTATACTTGCAT